TATGATATTATCATTAATCAAAGTGTTAATTAATTAAGATTGGGGGTAGATGAGTCCACAAGAAAACCATAGAACCTATTCGGTTATAAGTTTTTTCAGAATTATAGAAGATATGGTCTTATGAAAAAATTATGACCTAATAGGTGCTATGGTTTTCTTGTGGACATATCTACCTCCAATCTTAGTTAATTAATAACCTGATTAATGATAATACAATATATGGGTAATCCAATGTTAAGCATAGATATTCTGTGTGTATAAATAAGTAAAGAAAGGACACAATAAGGAACATACACAACATAATTTTGACATTCCAAGAGGTACTATATGAAGAAGTCAATTCTTCCCTTAGCCATCCTAACATTCCACTTGCTTTCTTCAACCACCGTGTGTGGGCTTCTCCAATTATATGCAGTTTATGTCATTGACAACCTTCCAGCCAATTTCTAGCCTTTGCAATTTCGTTGCCAATCTGCAGATGATGATCTTGGAATACATATGCCTAGAAATGGTTAAGAATTCAATTGGAAATTCTATTTGAACTTTCGAATGACCACTCTCTTCTTCTGTCATTTTTACTGGGGTACCAAAGATGTAGTTTTTAATGTTTTCAATCCCGACATCAGGCTGTGGCGGTCCTGGAATTATTAATTGCTACTAGAGTGTCAGACCTGACGACTTTTATTTTAGCAAGGATAGGACGACAGTTACGAAAATCAATAACTAGAAACCTTAATGATTTTATTTATTTATGATATTAGAGCTTATGCATCGGCCATCATCTTGTGTTTGGCTTATCAATAACTTGAATGCAATATATATATATATATATATATAGGTTTTAAGAAGGACTATTCAAGTCACAAACAATGATTCGTATTAGTGGAGAATGGTTTTGTGAATGTCTTTGAGGCCCTATTTGTTTTCCGAGTTATGGCTCCGGACTAGACTAAGAGTCTCCTGTCCCTCACTAAGCTCATGTTTGTTTTCCTCTTTGGCCTTGAGACTCATGGTCCCAACGGACAATGAAAGGCCTCACATGAACGGATTCGAGTCTGGGTTGAGAGATGGTATTAGCAAAACAATCCGTTCTGCTTAGGCATGATCGATCGTTTGGGGGGGCTTCCGGGGGGATGTCCGACAAGTCAATCGGCTGGTCAACTGTAATTTTATTTTTTATTTTTTACTTGTTGGGCATTTTTTTTTAACATTAATATTTAACATTTTTGTATTTTTTGTTAAGTAAAAATTGTAGTTTTATTTGTTTTATTATTTTATATATATTTTATATAAAAATAATTTAACAATCCTCACACTAACAACTATCATCAAAACAAATACAATTTTATTAATCCCCTCATTATCAATCCCCTTCATTCTATCTCTGAAAACAAATAGGGCCTGAGAGTTTAATTTTAACACTGAATCTAGTTGTTGAGCCATAATGGCAGAAAATGCAAACATTTGATACAAAAATGAAAAACTAATACGACATATATTAAAACTCTTACTAAAAAAATGTGTGTTCACATATCATTGGATCATTGTTTTTTGACAACCACCAATCATATTTTGCCTCGTGTATTTTTAGTAAGATTTTTAATAAAAGTGTTAGTATCTATAGAATTATTCAAAATTAAATAATAGGACTTTTCTCAAGTCCGTTGTGTGGCTTGTGGCATGTCCACGCTCATTAGTACCTATGCTAATTTTTTAGTCTGTCTAGAATAGAAGAATCTAAAAAGTAAAAAATAAAATACAAATTTTCAAAAAAAAAATCGCTAAAGACCATAAAAAATAAAAACAAAAAAAGCAACTATTTTTTTTAGTGGATTTTTTTATATTAACTTTTAGTTCATGTAGTCGACCTGTAGAACCTATAAGACAAGAATCATATATACCGGTTTCTTAAAAAAAAATAAAAAATAAAAAATAAATAAATAATTCATGTCTACTTACTACTTCTACCTGATCCCATAATAGAAGTCATTTGCTATTTTACTATTGGCGTGTCAACTGTCATTAATGCCAATACTACAAGCTATAGACAAAATAACACATTGTTCCTGCAAGAACAAAGTTGCAAAATTCAAATACAAAACATATGTATATGCACAAAAAATAAGCTAGCCTTGCACAAAAAATAAGCTAGCCTTGTGTGTGTTTTTTATTAAATTTATGTCAAAATTATTTACTTTCCAGTCGGTTACTATAAAATAATCTAAAAAGAAAATAAAAAGAAAAAATTCTATAAAAAAAGTTATTAAGGCCTCGTTTGGGAACAGGCTTTTTTAGTAATTTTTTGACTTTTTGACTAAAATATGATGTAAAAAAAACTAGTATATTTGTGATGATTTTTTGACTTTTTACGAAAAAAATGTGCAAAACATAGAGAGAAAATTGAATATTTGACTTTTTAGTATGGGTTTAGTTTTTTTAGTAACTTTTTGACTTTTTTGCTAAAAAGGACACTTGCCAAACGAGGCCTTAGTATAAAAAAAATCAAAAAGTCAACAATTTTTTTACTTTTTTTTTTCTTTAGTAATTTTTTCTTTATTTTTTTTTCTCTAATTCATCAAGTCGAGTAACCTAAAAATCTAAAACTTTATAAAAAAAATTTTTAAAAAAATTACTAAAGACAAAAAATCAACAATAAAAAGTCATTAAAAAGTTAATCTCAAACCATCACTTAGTTCATGCCATGTGGCATTATAAAAAGGTATTTGGAATGATCTAAATAAATATACTTTTTTAACTTTTAACAAAAAAAACGTGAAATATGGGTTAAGTTTGAAATGATGAGATATAGAGGTGATGTGATTCAAATAAAATTATTGTAATCCAAATAGAATAATAGCACATACCAAACACCCCTTAATAATATAAATTCCATTTGATTAAAAAGAAGTGTGGTGTTAAGTATAGGAAAAATTATTTATAAGTCTTATTTGGAAGTCTTATTTAATGTGAAATCTTATGAATATTCTTTTAGAGTTTGAAGTCCTATTTAAATAGAAATGTGTTCCATAAGGTCCTATGAGTTGTAAATGAATGATATTAGTGTAATATTATACCCCTAATTTGTTTCCATAATATACCTTTTTTTTTTCTCATTCATTATATCACATTTGGGAAGGTTTTTAGAAAAGACAAGTCTACAGGAAACAACCGTGCGAGTTTTTTTCGCCTTAATTGCAAGATTCCAGTGCATTTTTAAAATGTTGCTTAAAGGGATGTGGATATGGTCGATGTGTTAGATAATGTCTCAATGGGACCACATATTAAATGTGGTGTTATCATTTATAAGAAGCCTACAATTTAAGTGATTCAATTTAGTTAATAGGCTTAAGGATATATGTGTCATGGACCTAATGTGTAGATACTAGTTGAATAATTTCTATTTCTATGAGGGGTAGAAATAGAAATTAAAACAAAATTGGTTAAGTTGGTTTTCATAGAAACTGCCACACGGTTTTGTTTTTGAAAACCTATTTTAACTTTAAGTTGTTGTGGTCCCTAATCCTGCCTGATAAGAAAAGAACTGCCAACTTCTTCGATATCCTCTCAAGGAGAAACAAAAGGCACTAATAAGGAAAGGATTGGAAGGCAATAACAAAGGCAATACAAAAGGTGTTATTAACAATCACGCTTCCGTTTAACCATTACGATGGAATCAGGTACGCTTTTGTTTTGTTTTCTTGCTAATACACATGATACATGATCCAAACTCTAAGGTTTTATGTTCTGAAAATTTATCTGACAATTGGTATCAGAGCAGTTATATCATGTGTATTATCAGAATTGATATGCTATTATTCATCCTATTTAGTTTCCTGGTTTGCAGATTCTGAATTTTTCTTACTGCTGCAAATTCTGTATTTTTTATTTTTTTTTTAAAAACAGTAATCTGTTTTCTGGAAATGTAAACTAATTGAGATGGGCAGTGGGTAGATAAGTGCATATATATATATATATATATCATGCGGTTTGATTGGTTTGATTGTGAACATTGGTTTTTTAAAAAAAAACCCACTTCCGTCGGCGTTCTTTGGGCGTTTGAAACAGAGCAGTTTTATGTTAACATATATTCTTAATCTATTCATGCATGTATTGGTTTGGTCTTTGGCATTTTGTAATCAATTCTTGCATGTAATTTGTGATTGTATAAAAGGTTTGGTTTTTTGGCATTTTCTAATCTATTCATGCATGTGTTGTTTTCCTGGGTGTTTGAATCAGAGTACCATGATGTTATTATTTTCTTATAACGAATTGATTTGGAGTTTTCTATTCACTTGATGCATGTGATTTGTGGTTTATAAATATATATATATATATATATGTATGTATATAATTGGGATTGCTGCAAAGTACATTATATATACGGGGTAACAAATTTAGAAATCTTTAAATTTAATGTAATTTCATACAACGTCTACAGAAATTTAATTTTCTAACATTCTCAATATATGTCAATTCAAACAAGATGTCACAAAAGTGATCTCTCTTGTCTTGATTGTTTTATATGGAATGTTTTGAAGTTCATGTCTGTGTATCTCATGTGGGTATTTATCAGTCCAAAGACATGATTAATACTTGGCAGAATTACACACACATTTTGTGGTGATAAACATGTGCCAATTGTCAAGGAAACCTAATGTGAATAATAAATCCATCAAAAGATAGATTTGTTATTTGACATAACTTATTGTCAATGTTTGATCATTACAACAAGAATACCACTTACAGTTAATATCACTACCCAAAGGTTTGGTATTAATGTTGTGCTAGGTATCTTGAGATGTTGTCATTACATTAATTTATTTAGAGATTATCTGTTTGGTTACTTAATGTGAGCATAATTGTTTATTCATTTTATTTTATTTTTCTATTCAGCTTTAATGTCGACTACTTCAATCTCTACCAACATGAATAATGTTCCAATGTTAAATGGAACAAACTTTAAGGACTAGAAAGAGAACATATTGATTGTTCTCGGCTGCATGGACATAGACTTGGCATTAAGAATGCCAAAACCGAATGATCTCACTGAACAAAGTACTCCTGAGGAAATTGTGTACTTTGAAAAGTGGGATCGTTCTAACAGGCTAAGTCTTATGATAATGAAGCGTGGGATTCCAGAAGTCTTTCGGGATGCAATAACAGAGGATGTTACCATTGCCGGTGAATTTCTTTCAGAAATTCAAAAGCGTTTTGCTAAAAATGATAAGGCTGAAACAAGTATGCTTTTAGCAAGCTTGATTTCAATGAAGTATAAAGGCAAGGGTAATGTTCGCGAGTACATCATGGAGATGTCTCATCTTGCTTCAAAACTTAAGGCACTAAAGCTCGACCTATCTGATGATTTGCTCGTGCATCTAGTTCTCATCTCTCTTCCTGCACAATTTAACCAATTTAAGGTCAGTTATAACTGCCAGAAGGAGAAATGGACTCTTAATGAGCTCATTTCATTTTGTGTGCAAGAGGAAGAGAGATTGAAGCAAGAAAGGACTGAAAGTGCTCATCTGGCAAGCACCTTCAAGCATACGGGCAAAAGAAAGCATAATGGAAAGGAAGTTGCTGCTTCTAAGGGTCCGGAACCAAAGAAACAGAAAGTGCAGGATGCTTGTTTCTTTTGTGGCAAGCCCAGACACAGAAAGAAGGATTGTGCCAAATACGTCGCCTGGCGTGTAAAGAAAGGTACATTTTATGTTTTGGTTTGTTCTGAAATAAATTTAGCGTCAGTACCAAGAAACACTTGGTGGGTAGATTCTGGCGTTACTACTCACATATGTGTTTCTATGCAGGGTTGCCTGAACTACCGCAAGCCAACTGATGCTGAAAGATACATCTTTGTGGGTGATGGCAAGTCAATGAAGTGCAGGCAATAGGGCACTTTAGATTATTGCTGAAAACTGGTTATTATTTGGATTTAATAGACACTTTTGTTGTACCGTCCTTTAGACGGAATTTAATTTCTGTTTCTGTATTGGACAAATTGGGATATTGTTGTTCTTTTGGAAATATGAAGTTTAGTATGTCTATTAATTCAAATGTTGTTGGTACTGGTTTACTTAATGTGTTTGATAATCTATATTTGCTAGAAACTATTGCATCTTATAATGAAACCTTGCACGTGGAATCACGAGGTACAAAGCGTAAATTAACTAAGGAAAATTCAGCCTCATTATGGCACAAACGCCTAGGTCACATCTCTAAATCTAGAGTTGAACGCCTTGTGTCTGATGGAATTTTGGACTCTCTTGATTTTTCAGAATTTGATGTCTGTATTGAGTGTATCAAGGGAAAACAGACCAAAATGAAGAAATATGGTGCTCATAGGACTACAGATGTCTTAGAATTAATTCATGCGGACATCTGTGGGCCATTCCCTATGGCGTCTTGGAATGGTCAACAATATTTTATCACATTCATAGACGACTATTCCAGATATGGGTATCTATTTCTTATCCATGAGAAATCACAGTCTTTGGACGTATTCAAAAAATTTAAGGCTGAAGTTGAGTTACAACTCAATAAACGGATAAAAAGTGTCAGGTCTGACCATGGTGGTGAATACTATGGCAGATATGATGGATCAGGTGAACAACGTCCAGGACCGTTTGCAAAATACCTGGAGGAATGTGGAATCGTCCCATAATACACCATGCCAGGATCACCTAGCATGAATAGTGTATCTGAGAGACGAAATCGAACTCTTAAGGATATGGTAAGAAGTATGATCAGTTATTCTACTTTACCAGAGTCCCTCTGGGGTGAGGCTCTAAAGACAGCAACTTATATCTTAAATCAGGTGCCAACTAAAGCAGCTGCAAAAACACCTTATGAGCTTTGGGTTGGGTGAAAGCCTAGTCTAAAACACTTGCATGTGTGGGGGTGTCCTGCTGAGGCGAGGCCTTATAAACCTCATGAAAGAAAATTGGACTCTAAAATTGTTAGCAGCTACTTTATTGTCTATGCCGAACGATCACAGGGTTACAAGTTTTATGATCCCATAAATAGGTCAATATTTGAGACGGGTATTGCAACATTTTTTGAGGATGTTGAGTTTGGGGAGAGAAATCCAGTTAGAGACATTGTCTTTGAGGAGGAAGTAGGAGTAATCCCACTTCCTATTACTACTTTTGACCAATTACAGGTTCCTATACCTGTCATTGCTCGAGAAGTAACTTCGGATCCTCAACCAGACAATGTTGTTCAAGACAATATAGTTCAACCCCTCATTCAAGATGAGGTAATTGTTCCTAAGGAACAAACTCTACACCCTCAACCTCAACCTCAAGAACCTGTGCCACTAAGGCGATCCACAAGAGAAAGGAGATTTGCGATTTCGGATGATTATCTTGTATATCTCCAGGAACATGAGGTAGAAAATGGAATGTCGAAAGATGACCTAATCAACTATCATCAAGCCAGGGAAAGTTCCAACTCTCATAAATGGATAGAAGCCATGAATGAAGAATATAAGTCTATGCAAGACAATAAAGTTTGGGAACTTGTCCCATTACCAGTTGGTGCGAAGCCCGTAGGTTGTAAATGTATATTTAAAACCAAAAGGGATTCAAATGGTAATGTGGAGAGGTATAAAGCACGTCTTGTAGCCAAAGGCTTTACTCAAAAGGAAGGAATTGACTTTAAAGAAACTTTTTCTCCAGTTTCTACAAAAGATTCTTTTAGGACAATTATGGCGCTTGTTGCATATTTTGATCTTGAGTTGCATCAGATGGATGTTAAAACAGCATTTCTTAATGGTGACATTAAAGAAACAATTTATATGGTGCAGCCAGAAAACTTTGTGTCGGGTGACCCAAAGAATATGGTTTGCAAATTGACTAAATCCATCTATGGACTCAAACAAGCTTCTCATCAGTGGTACTTCAAATTTCATCAAGTTCTCACTTCGTATGATTTTGAAACTAATGTTGTTGATGAATGTGTGTATCACAAGTTTAGTGGGAGTAAACACATATTTTTGGTTTTATATGTTGATGATATATTGCTTGCCACAAACGATACAAACTTATTGCATGACACCGAGAGATTTCTATCTAAGAATTTTGAAATGAAAGATCTTGGTGATGCTTCCTTGTATTAGGAATCGAAATACACCACGATCGTTCTCGGGGTATTCTGGGATTATCACAAAGGAGCTATATCGAAAAAGTACTCAATAGATTTGGCATGCAAAATTGTAAATCAAGTGAAACCCTAGTTGCTAAGGGAGACAAGTTTAGTCTCAGCCAATGCCTGAAAAACAGTCTTGAAATTCAAGAAATGCAGAAGATTCCTTATGCCTCGGCTGTAGGGAGTCTAATGTATGCCCAAGTATGTACGCGCCCGGATATTGCGTTCATAGTTGGCATGTTAGGCAGATATTTAAGTAATCCTGGCATGGATCATTGGAAAGCAGCCAAGCGAGTTATGCGGTATTTACAGAGAAAAAAGGAATATATGCTCATATATAGGAGGTCGGATAAGTTAGAGATCATTGGGTATTCCGACTCTGATTTTGCTGGATGCCAAGACAGTAGGAAATCCACATCAGGTTATATTTATCTGTTGGCTGGCGGAGTAATTTCTTGGAGGTCTGCAAAGCAGACGCTCATAGCTTCATCCACCATGGCCGCAGAGTTTGTAGCATGTTATGAGGCATCAAACCAAGAATGCATTCTAGATCTTTTCTAGGCGCTTATTTCTCATTTGGACAAGTGTATGAGCTATTTATTCATGCTCTGATACCACTCGGTCATGACCCGAACCTGCCTCTATCGATTAAGGTCATAACTGGCCAGTAATCATGAGATTACCTAGGCCTTAAACATGATTAAGCATGTTTCAATAGAAATAAAGGGACAAAAATGGAAGCAGACTTAAAAATTTTGTCGAATGAGCTGTGCTTATATAGCATAGCAAAATTATTCCAAAAACATTCCATAGTAACTCACATATATAGGCAGAATTCACATCATGTAACATCTTGTACATCCAGGAACTTCAAACATGTAGTCAGCCAAACAAAATTTTATATACATTGGTGATCTGACGTATTCACCAAGGTAACAAAAAGAGTAACAAAGGAACAAAAATAGGGTCTCGTGCGTGAGACATTCGGGTTGACTTCACAAAAGCTTGGATCAGTTTATTACACTCTGTTACGTATTGTGAAGTATTGATCTTAATAAAGTTAAGTAGGACCAGTTGGAAATAGGCATGTATGGATCACATTACATGTAATTTCCGTGCAACGCATCCATGATTGATCTATGTCGTTTAGCTGTATTGGTATACGTGACCATTGATGGGTCGAGTTACGATTAATGTAACGAAGACCGCTTTGATCCTATATCAATATAGTTAATGGACAAGATTGTTTGGATACCCTCAGGTCATGATAACAAATTTCTGAGCTCACTAAAGTTAAGCACATTTGTCAGGTTACATATGTGGTCTAGTGGGAGATTGTTAGATAATGTCTCAATGGGACCACATATTTAAATGTGGTGTTATCATTTATAAGAAGCCTACAATTTAAGTGATTCAATTTAGTTAATAGGCTTAAGGGTATATGTGTCATGGACCTAATGTGTAGATACTAGTTGAGTAATTTCTATTTCTATGAGGGGTAGAAATAGAAATTAAAACAAAATTGGGTAAGTTGGTTTTCATAGAAACTGCCACACGGTTTTGTTTTTTGAAAACCTATTTTAACTTTAAGTTGTTATGGTCCCTAATCCTGCCTGATAAGAAAAGAACTGCCAACTTCTTCGATATCCTCTCAAGGAGAAACAAAAGGCACTAATAAGGAAAGGATTAGAAGGCAATAACAAAGGCAATACAAAAGGTGTTATTGACAATCACGCTTCCGTTTAACCATTACGATGGAATCAGGTACGCTTTTGTTTTGTTTTCTTGCTAATACACATGATACATGATCCAAACTCTAAGGTTTTATGTTCTGAAAATTTATCTGACACGATGATATAATGAAGTTTGAGAGTTGTGTGTTTGTTTATTTTTTTTATTTATTTTGTTGTTGTTGTTGTCGTCGTTGTTATTGTTGAAGTGTGTTGCTGTTTGTTGAAGTGTGATTGTTCATCTTTAATATGGCATTGACAATTTATTACCCTCATTGATAGGTACACTTTGACCAATGTTCTAATTGAATGTGTGTATTTGACATTGTGATGATTAATGCATTTTGATATGTTCGATGTGTGGGATGGTGTGTATGGATTCAAGGGTTGGTTGGAGGTATTTGGTTTTGGTTGTTAATTGGATGTTGAATGTGAACCACGTCGTAGGATGGCAATTGTACATTGAGACCTGGATGATCGAGTTACGATGCATGTTACATTTAGTGTATAACGTTAATCCACATACACCATATAGTAGATGACATTTGTGTGTTTGTTCAGTTGTATATGTGCTTGGATGTGTATCGTGTCTTTGTTGTAATCAGTGTTTACATACATGTCACAGTACGTTGTGCAAAATTATTGGGGATTTGGGTTTGTAATTGAATATGGATTGAATCCCATCACTCGATGTTGAAGTCACGCTAGGTTGGAGATGATGGTGGTTCAATACGTGGGTTGAGTTGGGAATGTCACGCTGAGTTTGGGATGAGAAGCATATAGGAATGTCACAGTAGATTTAGAAGCTTGGAAGAGAAGCATATGAGAATGTCACGTTGGGTTGGAAATGTCACATTGGGTTTAGGACGTTACATGTTACATTTATGTTTTGAATTTTAAATTTTCAACAATATAAATTTGATCACAATCTATGGTAAATATTGGACTTTCCATATGTGGTATTGCCATTAATCAAGTTATTTTTAATTTCAGAAGCATATTGAAATGTTACGTTGGGTTTGGACATGGCACGTTACATTTGAGATGTGACATGTTACATTTTGAATTTCAAATTTTCAACCATATAGATATGATCACAATCTATGGTAACATTAGATTTCTCATATATGGTATTACCATTAATTAGGTTATTTTAAATTTTAAATTTCTAACCATATAGTTATGATGACAATCACTACAACAAAACTGACTTTTTACGACACCACACCAACGACATACAATAAATGCACGTCGTAGTTTCTCTCTTTTACGACTTGTTTTTTTTTGCACGTCGTAAATACTTTTCCAATTATTGCGTGTCTATTGCGTAGGCTGTGAATGGTAATAATAGTAATTTTTTTTACGGCTTGCAATGCACGTCGCAAATAATAAAACTTTCAACGACATGCATATGGCGTGCCGTTAATACATCAATTACATGACGCACATACATCAGCCGTGAAAAGTGAATACTTTTCATAGCGTACACGGCGCCCACCGTTAAAAGTATTGCCTTTTTACGACAGACAATGTATGTCGTAAATTGTATGATAAAAAACAAAGAAGCGCCAAAATAAAATTTCTGGCTCCAATTCACTAAAAAAAAAAAACAAAAAAAATATTTAGCAAAAGAAAATATACATAAACTGTTTGGGCTTCTAATAGATTCAAATCATCAGACACTAGTTCGAAGGGCATCCATCGCCGGTACGATAACTGGCTCGATAGTGGCATCCATCGCCGTTTCCCTCATCACCTCTTTGCTCACTTCCATTTTCTAAGTTGT